TGTGTCTCCTCATGAAACTCATCAGTGATTCGAATCCCCTTTCTCACCGAGCAACTCCTTTCCACATTACATCAGCCACGTGGCACTAGCTTACCGTCAGTATGATCAAAGCAGCTCTACCAGTTGCTTCCCATTTTCTATCAACCCCTCCCATTGAAATGATTAAGTATTCTCCTCCCTGCCATTTCTTCAGCGCTGGCTCTTGCAGCGCGTCAGAATCAACATCGTGATAGCGATCGAAATTGACGTCACATTCCACATCAAGCCGCTTCGCCGCTTCACTCAGTTGCTCTGCACTCATACGATGGACGAAATTGACGTAGCTGTCCACATCAAGCCGCTTCGCCGCTTCACTCAGTTGCTCTGCACTCATACGATGGACGAAATTGACGTAGCTGTCCACAACAAGCCCCTGTCCGACTCCCTCAGAGACCTTGGAGAACAATTCAACATATTCACTATAGTCTTTATTCCAAAATGGACTCTCTAGTGGGTAAGTAAATCGTCAGCCTGAAAACGTCAGAAACGCTCGACCTGCTCCTAGAATGGACCAAACCGAAATCTAGCTCTGCTTTCTGCACCGTAGACAACAACAAGGATAATCACACAACGTGCCGCTGCTGTCGTTGTGACCCCATCCCGAATCCTGCAGGCAGCTAGCCTACGTCTATGTTGTAAGTGTCTGCAACCGCATCACGCGGATGACTGTGGAATTCTTTGCTCATTCTGTCACGGCGATCATAATGTGCTGCTTTGTCCTAACAAAACATCGGCTTCGTCCCTGTCCCACAAAGGAAGGAAGTTCTGAACACTTCCATCAGCACAGCGGCAATGAGTGAGCTGCTTGCGTAAGCGATCAGTACATCATTTGGACTATTCAGCCCATCTGTCATTTCCCTTCTGCTGTCGTCTTACTCGTGAGTTCGTCGCTTTATTCACTGCCTTCAGTTCGCAGTTCAATTCGAGTATTTTGGCAGGAACATGGTATCCAGGAAGCAACTTTCCTTGCAGCTGAGACGCCTTGAGGATGCCATGAGGAGTGAGGTCTGTTTCCTAGACCGCATGACAGAAGGCACACTCAATGATCGCAAATTGGACGGAGTTGCCCCGTAGAAGAACTATTTGAAGAACACAGAACGAATATCCTGCTGGAATATCCTCGCTTATATGAAGCAATGTAGAGGGATCGAGGGGTTTTGCACTATATAATGTATTTACGCACGCTCCTTATCACAAATGTGATCAGATATAACTTTCTATTTTTAAGCATGCATAGCTTTTCTCTTTTAGATGTATGTCACCGTATTTCCCATGCATCACTGTAGCCAGGCTTCCTTTCTTATTATCTGATCAAACTTGTCGATTTTCCCGGAGAAACAACGCTTACGATGCATACATTCTTTCGTAGCACAATACAGTTAGTCCACCTAAAAGGGGATCAACTCCGACGTTCGGTTCACTCGGCTGGTGCATTACAAGGATTTCAAGGTGCATTTTTCGTTTTTCTCTACAACAATTTTTCTATCATTGTTCAGCAGACTCATGGGAATATCATCTTTTCTACTTTCCCCTTTTTCTAGTCCCTATTTTCCCTTTGTACTTTCGCAAATCTAATTCTGTTTAGTTCATGTTTAATTACCCAAGTTTGAGGTCCAATAAAACTTCGACGACAATCAACTGCATGGAAGCAACAGGCGAAAAACACTCAGTGAAATTTTTTCCACTGGGCACCTTTGAATATAAGAGTGAAATAACAAACGTGCCGGCGCAAATGCTTACTGCCCATGCAGATAGAGCAACTTGCAAATGGTTTCACAAATTAGTCTATTTGTAGTGATACGGATGAAGGCAAGTAATTCACTTTCACTTTCCGACATCCAGAGTCTTTTCTGATCTTTGATAATGTGAAAGGAGCTGAGACATTTCATTAATTATCTATAATACCTGTCATGACCCTTGGTCATGATGACTAGGATGCACGGGTCGCAAATGCACACTTTCTAGAAAGCTCGCTCACCGCCTACAACCAACCAATAGGAGGCCTTGGCACCGCCCACCTCAGCCAGTATTTATACCGCCCATAATCAGGGCTATAAAGGTAGCGCGCTGAGTGCCGCCAGTCAGTTCGGTTGGACCCCGCGCTGCCGGAGCAAGAAGATGAGCTACTCCGTCTATTGTACCTTCAACTACCCTGGCAGCACGCGTACCAGCTGCACCGTTGGAGGCTGTGGCTCTACAGGCCACTGACTCCCCATCTCCCATTGTTTCCGACGACTCAGACTCAGACGATTCGGGCCCGGAGCAAGAAGATGGAGTTCTCTCCTCTGACGAGGATGAATAAAACATTTGATTACTTTAATCCTTTGTTTGATTATTATACTATGCGTAAAATATAGCTGAGCTAGCGTTTCCTCCTTCTTCTCTTATTATAGGTTCTGTTGTATTACTGTACACTCCATACTATTGTTACTGTACTACTTTATACTCTTATTACTGTATTAGCTTTCGCAGCTCCACACTTCCACAGCAGTACCCGAACACTACGAGCACACAGAAATGAGAACGAACACGATGTGCCAACACAAGAGACGAGACACAAGACACTGCGGACCCGCTATCGCCTGAAGAAGAACACAAGACAACACAACTTAACTTGCACTTGACACGAATATACTAGTAGCTTAACCTCATATGTTTATGCTTGTAGTTTTAATGATTGTAGTCACGTTGTATGCGCTATGTGTTATCAATAAACATGTAACCTACCACTTGAACCACCAAAACCTCATTTGAACCGTGATGCAGTTCAAAACAATACCATTCACTTTGAATCGGACACTTTCCAAATCAAATCGGACACCTCTGGCAGTTGAGAACTAGACCACACTAGGTACTGCTGCAATCTCAACATGCTCGCCCACTTTTTAGCACTGTCACGGTTTTCCAAAATGTTTTATGAATTCTGCTTCTTCGAATTTTTTTCACTTTTGCTATTTGATCGCATACTTCAACTTAATTGGTTTGGTACCGACACATACATGTATGACTCCGCCTTCTTTTCAATGAAGTTAGGCAGAGTTTTTATAACTTTTTTTTGACGTTGATCTTTTCACATTGGATCTTCACAAATCGCATACATATGCTAATAGCCATGCAGTTGCACACTAGCACACTGAGCCTCGCCTCCCTCACCGCGCCCCTTTTGTGTTTATCGCGGAATTTTGGTTTTTTCCGGATTTTCGCTTTTTTAGGCTGTTAGCAATTGGCTCCGCCCACTAGCAGGAAGCTCCGCCCACTTTTGAAAAATGATTCGTCATTCGGAACCCTTTTTCCCTTTTTTCCATTCTATGTGACGGGAGAGGCCATAACCTGCTAGTACGGTCACTAGCTCGCCGATCTGCATCATTTTTGAAAAGTGGGCGGGGCTTATATTAGTGGGCGGAGCCACTTGTTAGGCTAAAAACTAAAAACCCGGAAGAAAAATAAAAATTCAGCGAAAAACACGAAAGGGGCGTGGTCAGAGGGGGGAGAGCTTAAAATTAGTGTGCTAGTGTGCAGATGCATGACAATTAGTATATGCCTTCTGTGACTTCATTGAAAAATGGGCGGAGTCGTACATGCGTCGGTACCAAATCAGTTCTGTTGAAGTATATGTGTCAACAGCAAAAGTGAAAAAAACGAAGAAGCAGAATTCATAAAACATTTTGGAAAACCATGACCGCGCTAAAAAGTGGGCGGGGTGTTGGGGCGGGGCTTGCAGCAGTACCTAGTGTGGTCTAGTTCTCAACTGATCATTGCAAATTTTGAAAGTGGATCAAAATTTTGTTGAAAAGTTCTAAAATCACGAAGAAGAAGAGACTCTGCAAGCGTGAAGAGCAAGCCTATCAGCTAATAAAAAATATAAACAAAAGTGCTAGAGATTTGGCAGTACCTGGGTAGTACTTCGAATGAAAAACAACAGCATTCTTCGACGAGAACAGCTTCAGCAGATCGGATTTGTTGCGAGGTAATCTGAATGGGGCAGACTAAATGTGCTGGATGTTTAATGCTCTTCTCAGCTCATTTCACTTAACGTGCATAATTCCGAACGCTTAACTCTCACGATAGTGCCTGAATATTTTCAAAATCATCTAAAATCGATCAGTACAGGCTCCGCGACTAATGGTAGCATCAGACTCCGCGACTAATGGTAGCATCAGCAGACAAGGGGGCGCACTTTGTAGTACTTCTTTTAGTATCCGCTGTCCCCGTCGAGGAGCCTACTTTCTCGTCTCGCGGTCGCCTTCCCGAGTACGTGTCAGGGCAACGGTAATGATTTGGGTGGCTTCTCTGCAAGATCTGCTTGTACGTATATTAGTTCGACTTCAAA